AGATCTATCATTGGGGCTGAGGAATATTGCATCAGACAGGGGCTTCAGAATATCTGACAATAAGGGATTAGGAAATTGCATGTTCTACGCCTTGTCCGAACAACTGGCAATTGTTAAGGGAATCAAAATCCTACATGGCGAATTAAGACAAACCTTGGTCCAGTACCTCAGGAATAACCCAAAACTTGTAAGTTGATATTAGTATGTCTAACAGAGTATGTTACGCGATGTTATTTTAAGAGTATGACAAAGGTTTAATGATAATGTAGGCCACTTGGCCAACACAACCAGAACCTATCCCAGTGTTCACAGCGTGAAGTGACCACAAGTACTGTTACTCTTCCTGCGTGGACTGATGGTCTTTTTTTTTCAGGAGTTCCTATACCAGCTTGTACCCTTGGTGGAAAGGGGTACAAGGTACCACTTAATGTGGTGTCTGAAGAAGCAGGCCACCGCAATTTTAGTCATTTGAATTTAATTTAGCTTCAAGAAAGGTCCATTTAAACCTGCATCAGAGAGCAGAATTCTAGTTATTCTTTATATGATGGATCTTTGTTTTCCTGCTGTTTTCAAAGCGTTTTGGAATATACACGGACGTTTTGAAAGACGTTTCAATCAGAAAATTTGTTACTATGCAGTAAATTGCTAATTAAAGGTCGTCTCGTACCATTCTGATAAAATTACTCCCTGACTCGTACTACACGCGCTCAAGTGTCTATCAACAATTCTTTTAAGTTTCCCTCTTTAACTAATTCTTCCTACAGCCGGATGGAACAGATCTGTTTCACTTTGTCCATGGACATCAAACATGGACTGAATACCTAGTACACATGGAACAAGATGGCGCTTGGGGTGATCACGTGATTCTGTGTGCCGCAGCAAACTACTTTGAAACGTGCATTCGTGTGGTCAGCAGTCTATCCCATAGCAATGATGTAATCATAACGCCACATTGTCCAGTTGACGAAAGCAAACCTCTTATGCTGGGACATATTCATGAGGTGCACTATGTCAGCCTTCGACCCGTGCAAGGTACAGCTCATTACATTATTCCAATTAAATGTAATTTCTAAGCTATAGTGATATTTGTTAGTTAGGATCCTTAATCTTCTTTTAAATACCGAGTTGACAACAGTTACCATTTTTGTTGTTCGATTTGCTCATTTAACACGCATCATGAAGTTTGTGGTTTTCATATTTCATGCTTCATCGCTGGCTCCCATCTCAATAATCAAAGCAATTCATGCACTCTATTGTTCTCCCTTTCCGTTTAATCACAGTGTTCTGATTCTCGTGTTTACAGGTTAAAGTGGCAGGCCCTTCCAGTCACTTTGATCGGCCCTTGTGAAGAGCTCGGCCTTGCAGAATGACTTCACAGGCATAGAGACTATTGATGCAAATTGGACAACTAGAGCTTTCTTCAGTCGATTTTCCAATGTAAACTTTAAAATCTTAGATTAAATTAGAGTTTCCAAAAAATGTTTACAACAGAACAAGGACAATAAAAAGACCCTATAATAAAAATTTTATTTCTTATAACAAATGGCTTTGAAATGTAATCGAAATAAGCTTTCAAGGGAGAGATAATACAAATATTAGGAAAAGATAACTCAGTAATATTCTCCAAAGTTGACAAATGTTTGAATAGGTGAAGAATGTGATAGCCAATAAAGAAAGTACTTGCAAACCTAAAAGAACTCCGCCAACGATTTCATTTTGTTTAATACTGTACGATGTGGGGATTCTGATGAAATTTTACAACGCAACAGCAATTCATATCGTTCCCCTGATAGGACTGACTCCGCTGTTTAGATATTATGAGAATCCGTCAGTTATTTGCGGGCGAGGCTCTTCGCATATCTCTCGTCAAAACGAGTAAGGAACTTATCAGGATGCCAGAAGAGTGCATGCAAGCTCCTTAATAATCTTCTGATATTAATTTTCTGCTTTATTGCGAGTATCACTGCGACCATGTCTTCAGAAGTATCATCGCCAGGCAAGAGACGTCATCATATTTTATTGTTCGAGGAGTTGTCTTCGAAAAATCTCTTAATTGGATACGATATTCGAATCTACCTCGCTTAATTAACTGCTACAGGTGGATGTTTTAATTTTGGAAGTACTTCATTCCATTTTTTTGGAAAGAAACGGTGTTTAACCCTTGAACTCCCTGAAGTGATTAACATTTAACTTCTCCCTTTAATATTCATACATTATTCAGCAAACAGGTGATGAGAATATTCAAACTTATCAAGTAGAAGCTGCTACCTTGATCTAACACGAAATTCTCATAATTAATTAATGAGGACATGTGTAGCAGCTAGAGGGGAGAATTAACAATCAGATCCTGGGAATTAAAGGGTTAACACCTTGACCTCACGTAGCGCTTTCCCCACATCCATATTATAGTCACAGCTTTTCCGTTCCATGTATAAGAACTTTCTCGCTTCCTCGGCGAATTCCTCCAAAATATATCTGTAAAAGGAAAATTGTCGGTTTAACCGAAAGTTCGAGTTTTTTCGATGTGGCGCAAATATGATCATCCCTACCGCTCTTTTGTTGTGTTTTAAAAGCGAAGAACAACTTTTTAAAAAGAACGTGAAAAAACTTTTTGCTAGATACACAACTACTACCTTACTTAACGTTACCTAACCCAGGTAACATAACCCAGGTAACATGCACAACTGAATATTTTTTTTCTGCTAGTTACATAACGTTGCGTGATGAAAGGTGATGACGCTAAATTCTTCGGAGGTCAACAATACGAAATGAACACTAAGTTCGGGTCCTATTTGCAATCAACAACATGCATATCTTTGTTTTGTATTCCAAGTAACATAGAATCTTCAGAGTCTTGGTTTGCCCTATATCTGAGCTTATTTGAGTTGTTCTCTCAAAAGAGTTGGTCTCGGCGATTGAAAAAAACCTCGCAACGTACCTTCCAGTCATCAGAACTAACTACTGATCTCGCACTCTATTCAGTAAGTAAGATTGACTTCAAGACTTCAAAGTCTGAAACGGTCAAATCAAATTACGAATGTCTACACAATGTGAAACACACTTACCTGCGTTGGACATGATTAGCAGTCGATAAGAGAGAGATAAAAGCGGTAGGTTTATGAAGACAAGCAAGCTACGGAAATATTACAACCGTTTGATCAACATAACACACCTTGCTTCCTTGAGTTCACGACACGCTTAGTTTGTTCTGAAAATTTTTTACATGCAAGCACACCGATTTAATTAAAACAATCACGTCCTTGACAATGGAAATCAAATTTCCTTACTGTCACCCGATTACGTGTTGAGGTCTTTGCCTTACTTTACAGTTGCATTCCTCTGATCCCTATATCTGTTCGGTGGGTAAATTTGATTCTTTGTGTTTAACTTTTCGTTGTCATTTTCATGATTGTCCGAAGATAAGTTAAACGGACAAATTTTCCCCAAAAAAGAAACCTGTTTAAGACTCTCAGTCAGTGGATTAGAGACAAGCGAAGGACCGGGCGAGTTAAAGTCGGTGGTCAAGATTTCCTGATCCCACGGCAGCTCATTCATTCATTTCCATTAACCGAGAGACAGCATGACAAAAATTAAGGCTCACATCAGCCCCGCTCCTCAAACAAGAAAAGCGAGGCGTAGGCTTATACTCGAGGGGGGGCCCCTTATGATTGTCTTTTTCTGTTTTGTTTTCTTTAAAGGTAGATGGGCCTTTAACAATTCAATTGAAATTGGCTTCTATTTCAGTTTTAAAACAAAATCTCACTTTCTAAAAGCTGGAAATATACACAGGAAATGATATTACCATATCTGGGGTGACTAAAAATGCAATCATAAAATGGTCACCATATTAGAATAAGCTCTATACTCAGTATGAGTAATTCTCACACATTTCACATTAGCCATAATTTGCTTTTTATTCATCAATTCTACAATCATTATGATATTAACTTTTCCAAGTACCAGAAAAAACAAAACAAATTCAAAAACTATAAGAATCATAGCATTCAAAATGAGCATAGTGACTTCCATTACATTCTTTTTAAGTTTCCACAAGCCAACTATTTTGTCATAAAATTGAAGTTTGTGGTTTAAAATTTGAAATATTATCCAAGCTAATTAAACAGAAAACTTACTGCTTGTCTTATACAGCCTTTAAGTGCTTGAAACTCCCTATCACAGGCATGCTTGGTAATGTTGTCTTTCTGGGACACACAGCTTCCATAAAGAAGGGCCTGAAAAAAAACAAAAGCAACAATGAATATAGAATCTCTAAAAGAACTTGAAGAAACATTTTTGTTTGAGCATTAACCCTATAATTCCTAGGAACTAATTGTTAATTCTCCTCTCTAGCTTCTACACATTTCCTTGTAAATTAGTTGTAAGAATTTAGTGTTAGATCAAGATAAAAACTTCTACCTGATACATTTGAATACTCTCATTACCTGTTTGTTGGATAGTGGATGAATATTGTAGGGAGAAGTTACATGTGAATCACTACTAGGAGTTAAAGGGTTAAAACAATCTCAGACATATTCCCAGCAACACCTAAAACAAACTGAGTAAGGTTTTCAGTTGAGTGAGTCAATTCTCAGATCTTGGAGCTAAAAGGATCAAGATTTCAGGTAGTTGGTTAAGAGGAGACAATTTGAGACAGATTTGAACTATGTAATGATCTTTTTACTCCTCATACACAGTGCAATTTATAAATTTGATTGAGCTTAAAAACAATCCAATTTTTCCAAGCTTTTCCATGATCTTGGTCTGTGATTTGCCAAAATATTAACACTATCTAATCAACCAATCATAGACAAAAACAGCAATTTGGGTTTCTTGTAGTTTGCAGTGACTTAAGTTAGTTTTTTCCTTTGTTTCTCTCTGTTTTTTTTGGTCATTTTTCATATTTTAAAATCCTAATTTCAACACCACACAAAGCAATATATAAGCTACCCTACTTTTAAAATAAATTACTCATGATCAAAAAATTCCATCACTCTCCAACAAATATCTTTGCTTGGGCCTATTGGTCTAACCACATCACAAAACAGAATATCCTTAGGCTAAACTGGGGGATATCCAAGGATATACCTCAAGTGATATTCCCCAATTTTCAAACCTTACATTCAATATGGAAAACTCTGTGTTCAAGATTTAATTTGCGATGAAAAGTGTTATGTGGTTGTTATAAAAGAAGGAACATGTTTCTTTCCTTTACCAAATCATTTCAGAGAACACTGAAAAGTGAACCTCCCACGCCATAAACAATAAGCTATTCAAAAATATTTTTCCTGCATGTCAAAAATATTTGAAGGATAATAAACATAATAGCCTCAATTTGCCTCAGAAACAGGGAAGCTGTTATATAATTTACAATGTACATCTCTCAGGCATAAGGTTTTTTTTCTCCAACAAAAGGCATGGGATGTTGAAGGCTACCAATTGGGTTCTGATTTGTTCTATACTGAGCAAAAATATCAGAATTCTAGGTAACCAAAATTAACATCACTTCAGGACAGGTTTATTGGGTAATGTCTTGTCATTAGTATAAATCAAGAAGCAGCTACACAGTTGAAGGGGAAAATCATAGAGGAACTGTAAGATGTCAGAGACTTGCTCAGCAAATATTGATAAGCTAAAGAAAAGTGCAGCATCATTGCTTCAAAAAAAATTAATGAAAGAGAAAAACCACACATTTTGTGGTAATTGGGAATCACAGTCCTAGAGGTGCTCCTGATGGCCAAAATTACATGTATTGGTCCAAACAAAAAAACACTCTTTAACATACTTCCACACAAAACAGAAAAAGGTGAACAATCAAAGCAAGGTGAACAATAGAAGGGGTTGCTACAATTAAATTACAAATAATAAGTTACCTCTGAAAAAAATAAACAAAAAAAAAGAGAGAGAACCAGAGACACTACCAAATGTTATACAAGGTCCTGGTTTAAGACAATAGAGAATGATTTAAAATGATCCAGCAAAGTTTAACTATAAGTCAGAATGAATAAAAGTTACAGTAAAGAACTTATATGAATATAAATTGAGAAAAAATAAGTAACAGAAAATCCATGAAAGTAACAGACTTTAAAACAAAAGAGCTTAATGAAAATGTGATGAAAAGAAATAGGATCATGTGTACTATAGGTGGACTCGGTCGACATATCGGGCGACAGTCGACCGATATACCGGTCGACTATCGGTCGACAATCGACCGACTATCGGTCGACTGTCGACCGACTATCGGTCGACTGTATATATAGTCTTAAACCATCGATACTCGACCGATACATGACCGATACTTGACCGATACATGACCGATACTTGACCGATACTTGACCGATTCACGACCGATACTTGACCGATACATGACCGATACATGACCGATACATGACCGATACATGACCGACACTTGACCGATACTTGACCGACTCTTGACCGACTCTTGACCGACACTTGACCGATACTTGACCGACACTTGACCGATACTTGACCGATTCACGACCGATACTTGACCGATACATGACCGATACTTGAACGATACATGAC